TGAGTGGCTCCGACAGCGAAAAAGGCAGGATCTTAATCTTGATGGACTGACTGTCAAGACAAGGTTTTCATGTCCAGTTTCTCATATAAAAACATTAAAACTACTTTTTACCCACAGCAAGTATAGCAAAGCCACTGCCATTGAACACAGGAGCAGCAGAAGCATCAGATGCATCTGGATACACTTTACTGGACCAGCTACAGGAGCATCTTCTTGAGGCACGTCGGACCTTAAAGGTAAAGAGGCAGATTTTCTTTTTCCAGGTGGATCATCAAAATAAGTGGTGATCATTCTGGTGATATGTTTATGTAAGGCGTTCTACATGCTCGTACCCATTTTCACTAACCGGTGGGGAGTCTGACATAGTGGAAATATTGCAGGTCTGCTTTTGGAGAGTAAGATTGTATGAGCGATGGAAACAGCAGCTTTTAAACAGGGCGTGCACAAAGAGAAATGGGCTCAGGCATGCTCTTGCACGCGTTTATTAGGCGTTCCCTTTCAAGAGCGGGTACAGGGTTGTGCATGTGCATTTTTTTTTATTTTCCTAAGTGGAGAGGGTGGGTCTCTACAAAAATTTGGGAAAATCCTCCACTATATCTTTAATGTGGACAAGCATAAAAAAAAAAAATTCTGATTGTTTGAATTAACCAATGAAACATAATATTGTACCAATAAATTATCTCATGTCTTCCTTATGAAATTTCCACATACTTCCAATAATCAGAACAAAAGTTGTGTTGTAAGAAAACGGACCCCCCTGCGCCACACAAAGCCTAAAGATGTGATACACCAAGGTGTACACCCTATGAAATATTCATAGAAAAAAAAGCCTGAATGTAGAACATGAAAAGATTTTGATTGAAGATTGTATTGTTAATTATAGCCACCCAGCATCAAGATACTGGGGACTGTTGAAAAATCTGTTGAATGCTTTTCTTTATTTTCTCAATTTATAATTCAAAAACCCTTGAAAACTAAACAGAAGTCGGTGACCCATTTAAACAAGTGCCACGGATCAAGAAAAAACAAAACAATGCTTTATGCAAGCTGAGGTGTTGTGCTTTCCAGTCAGTGTGTGGTTATTACGGTAATTTCCCTTGAGTTGTTGCAGGAGGCTCACAAACAGCGGCACGTAAAACATTACGTTTCTTAATAGTTTTGACATCATAGGGGCTGAAGGAACAAATGAGGAAGAGTGGTGCCTGCAGACCAGTTATTTCAGGATTCAACATCTAAATGATTAAAACTATTTTGTACTTTATATTTGTCATTGTTTATGTAATTGCAACTTCTTTAGAAAAGTGTACCAATGCACAAAATTTGAACATTATAACTGTTTTTACACTTGGTGGACACTAAAAAAATAGCATCTCTTTGATCGTCTAGCATATTTCTTTTACCTTTATTATAATGTTTAATTGCATTTGTATGCATGTATGCAGTTTGCCATATGAAACACTTTGTGAGAGACTAGATGAGTATTAATCTCCTGGACTTTCAGTTTCTCGTCAGGAGGTCAAGTCCAATTGCTCCCCTATCCACCCAGTGTATAGTGGGGGCACCAAGCTGGGCTGGGAAAAAAAAAAGGGTTCATGGGTCACAACAAAAGTTCTCTGTTCCCAGGCTGACTGCAGAAAACCAGAAGATGATACACCACCATTTACCAGCATCTTGTCTGTCAGTACTGTGACATCTGTGCCACCCCACATGATCAGTGTACCTGCATGCAGCAGAGGTCTATGACATGAGTTGTCTCTGAAATGTGGGCCGATATTTAAAACAGGTTCAATCAGCTAACTAGAGGTACAGTTTTACATGCATTTAAGTTTCAGATTTATAGTTAGGGAATCTTAACTGCACAAATTCCTTCATGAAAAAATGAATTTTGGCGAGATGGTGATACGATTAAAGAAAAATCACTGAAACAAATTCAGGGATTTAAGAAAAAATAGACAATTTGAAATATTCTTTTAGTCAGGACCATGCATGCCATGCCACACTGCATTCCACACTTCCTCATTGGTGGGTACAAAGTCAAGTTGAACCAAACGTGTTAGTTTGAAAATATGCATTGATATCCCATTATACTCCTTCACTTTCCACATCCATAATGTAACCTGGTTAACTTACTTCCCCTCAAAAAAAAAAGTTCAACCCATTTAGAGACAATTTCGGAAAATTCTAATTATATTGCAAAGACAACTAAGTCACAGTTCAACTTGACCATTTTAAATCTTCTCCCTCCATGTCCCCCAGAAAACCCTTTAGAACTAGCTGGAAATTCACCTACTGAGGTTTGCCTTTTCTTTACGAGTTGGCAAAACTGGACAGCATCTTCACAGCTGCTTTTTTGTTATCATTTTTGTTGTAGCTGTTACAGCAGAGAAAGAGGAAATTAATTATAAATAAATAGAATTTTTTTTTTTATTGATGCCATATTAGTAAGAGAGAAAAGTCAAATGTTTAAAGAATTAAATAGAGAAGTCCAGACAGCTTTCATGTTTGCTTGCCCATTTAAAAAGAGGGTAATATTTTTACCCTCTCTTCAAAGAATCCTAATCAAATGATAAATACGACATTTACAATATCAAGTGGCGTCCCCTCTGCTGATCATTAAAATATTTTAAGAGAACAGGGGAGAAATAGCATATAACCTGGTTTAGATGCTACAGATGTATATGTTGGATTAAGTCACAGATTAACTACATCTGTAGTTCAACCCTTAATGCAGATTTTGGTTTTTAGAGCTACCTTTTACGTTTCTTTCACCATATTAAATTAGGGCTTGATAATCCATTGCATTTGCATAAAATCACAATTTAACTGAATGTAATTTTTACATAGGAGAAGCACTGTTTTGGTCACATTACATTTAACAAAAGTGAGACACTGACTCTCTCACCGCCCATTACGTGGAGGCAATGCACTTCCACACAGAAGGGACAAAAGTAACAGCTAGCATGCAAATACATGCACGAGAGTAGAAATAACCTTTTTTTTTCTCTCTACCAAACAATAACAGTAAAGTCCTGTGACAATGAACTCAGGACAAGCTTTCAAGGTCAGGAAAGCAATGAAACCCAGAAGTAAAACATCTACAAGTATGTGGCTAGTGCAATTGAAAAAAAGAATTTCAATTTCTATCTTTAGCTGAATTTATCAGTCCTACTTAGTCTTTAATCTTCTTTTGATTCCTCCAGTGTCACTCTAAGGAAACAAACAATTTCACAGGCAATCGGTTACCATTATACTGGGGTCTGTTGGTTTAAACTGGTTCAGCTGTTTCCTCTCAAACTCTGTGGGTCTGGTAATTCCAGTCTCAATTAAAAGCTGCAAGGTTTTTTGAATACATCATAGACAGGCCGAGTTTGTTTATAGGGAACTTCAAAGATGTGTCGTTTTATTGGGAACAGTGGTACCTTTGCAAGCAACGTGAATTGTTTTGAGATTTGTGAATTCAAACTCCCAAAAATACTTCTTGCCAGAATCCGGTAGATGCATTAGCCTCGATACAGAAATGTTTTAGCCCAATGAAATGCAATGAGATTACGTCAAGTAAAACAAAATTGGCTGGACTGGTTTTAGCCGTGTATCCTCCATTTCTTTTTGAAGAAAAAGGAAAAGTATGCAATTTGTGTCTTTGTGGATGGGAAACATTTTTGTACATTCCTCCCGAACAGTTTGGTTTATCAGTTCGCTTACTAGTTGTAAAAAGAAGCGAGAAACTTTAATATAGATTTTTATGTTCCTAATTTTAACATTTTTACCTAAAACAACGAGGAAAAATGGGCTACCTCTGCACCTCCACTGTCAGATAGCGCTGTGAAGCCCTTTTGCTGTGCGCCACAGCTCCATATTTGTAGTTGAGTCAGTCACAGTAGAAGAAGTGGACTGACTCAAACCCCAAATGTATACAAAAATAACTAAATGATCAATATCTTCTGATGAATATATACTGCTCTTTCTTTTATATTTATACATTTAATTTTGATAGCTAGGAAAAATATTGCAATATATAGTGATATTCCAATATCGTGATAATATTGTATTCTAACCCAAGTATCCTGACACATCGTATTGCAACACCGATGCCAATACTAACCCCTAATAAATAGCCTGCCAAAGCACTATGATTTAGGTCCTCACCAAACTCCTATGCAAACAATTAGAAAATGTTCTTTTCGGAGCAAAAACAACCAAACAAAAATCATTAACTAAAACTTCAGAGATATAGTTTGATGCACTTCAATTGCTGTGTGAGTGACCCTGCATGTGCACTCAAAATAAAAAAAAAAAGTAAAAACATAGGTTACCCATTTAGTTGCGGGTAAAAACATAACGACACACAGTGCTGACATAAACTTCAAGTCTTTTTTTTTTTTATTGTATTGTGTTGCAAAAAAGTCATTTAAAAAAAACAACAACATTTTATTAACTTTTAGATAAAAAAAATAACATACATAAAAATGTATGAACTGGCAAGTTATGTTTAGGAAGAAAAAAATGACATTACAAAGCACATACCCTAATCTGGTTCCACATAAAGGGGACAGCCTCATGCATTCTTTGGACAAACTTTACCCACTGTTACCTAGCAATTGCAATATTTGCAGAATTGACTAAACATGGAGTTGCCACTGCGCCTTAAGTAACAAAGTGAGCTTTCCAGCCTATTCTGTGCTGCTCTGTTGGCTTCAGGCTGCCCCTTTCCACACACCAACAACACACTGCTGATTTTCATTAAACTACTGAATAAGTGTTAACTTTGCACCACCCAGGCCAGCGCATGTAACACTCCATCAAACGTATTTCACACATAAGCAAACAGTAATGCCATCCCAGCCCTACAGGGCAGTGCTTCCCTCACTGTTTCAGTTTGCTTCTACACAAACCCCCCCGCATCCCTGTAAGGGAGAGGCTCTATGAAAACAAAAGTGCAATTAAATAGGGGACTTCTCTCTCTCCTTTTCTGGCTGATAATGTCAGGTATGGCTCCTTACCTGCCATCGGGACGTGGTGAACTCCTGGCACGGAGGGGAGTCTGTGAATACCGGGGGAGGCGTTGCTTCCTGGAGCTCTCTGCTGGTTCTCTTGGTGACCGACCTGCTGCTGCTGGAGGTGGTGGTGGAGATGGGGGCTGGACACTGTCACTCCGCTGTTGTTACTTCCAACACCGTACTGCTGGAAGTATCCAGACCGAGAGCGCGATCTAGTCCGTGGAGGCTCCATAGCCATTTGGTGCGGGTGAGAGAGATGGAGGAGGAAAGGGGAGGAGGGGGAGGCGGCAGGAGACTGCGGCGGAGAGCCGCTGGTGGATCCGGGCTGTGCAAAGCTCCTAGCGCCGCTGTGGCTGAAACCGAAGCCCCCCAGCCCCAATCGGCCCCCCTCGGCGGCCCCGTACTCTGTACGCTCCGCCGATCCCGCCGCCCCCGCCTCTTCGAATAAATCAGCCCCTTTAGGGACAGGCTCCGGGGAGGAGGGCAGCCGGGGGCAGATTCTGGGCTCCTGGGTCGTTGGCTGTCCAGCGGCTGCGATTGGCATTTCCTTTCGGGGGATTTCCTCTACTTCTTTTTTTTTTTTTTTTTTAACCTTTTCTCTCGTTTCCCCCCCTCACAGCAGCAGCTTAACGAATCTGTTGAGGGAAAAAAAAGTATGAGACTGAAAGAAGTTGAAACGAAGCTCTTTTAAACAAGTGGAAGCTTAGTTGAAAGTCGCCTCGAGTAAAAATGTTTATCCTCTGAAAACAACAACAAAAAAAAATCTGTTAGAACTGGTTCAACAACTAACGCTAAACCCCCTCATCCGTTCAACTCAAGATTCTGAGAAAATTCTTAATGGTACATTTAATTATAAGGCATTAAGGAACTGTGAACTGTGAACAAACCCTGATTTAATGGCTAACTAGTAACGTTAACTCGAACAGAGTGAAACTTCTGGGGAGGCTAATGGAGGAGATGCTAACGTTAGTGCGCAGAGACAGAGAAGGATAGCTCGATGTTCAAACCGGCGAAACAACAGCGCCGTATCTCTGTTCCACCTTCTCATTTAGTCCCGAAACTAGTTTCCATTAACTTTACCCACCTTTTTAAACTTGTTTAGCCAGTCTGCGTAGCGCCGCTCGCTAGCTTGGCAAGCCTCACCAGCCAACCAGCCCCTCCTCCTCCAGCAGCGACCGACACAAGAGAGAAAAAAACCCGTTGCTAACCACCCACGCCGCAAATCCCCTTAAAATGTCCGGCTACTGGTAGCAAACCTCTAGAATAATGAACCTAAAAACGTTTAGTCGGTTTGTTTGCGTGAGGTTGAGCCTGCCGGGTGGTAGCGTGTCCCCCAGCTGAGAAGATGCGAAGGGCTGAGAGAGAAAGATTGGGGAAAGAAGAAAAAAAAAGTGGTGAATCTAGAATTAGAAAGAAAGAACCGGGTCTAAAATTAACACGGTCTAAAGAGATAAGCCCGCCTCGATGAATACAACTGAATCCAGGTTTGTTTCGTCTTCCCCGTGTAGGTAATTTAACAAACAAAAAAGTCGTACCTTCAGCGGACTCCCCTCCGCCGTCCTCCTATCTGTCGATATTATTGTGAGCCGTGTGAATGTGAGCGCACGAGCCCAGTGTGAAATGTGACAGACCGTCAAGGCTCAAGTCAGTTTGCACCAGACTCGATCAATCGATAGCAGTCAAAGCGATCGCGTTTGAAGTCTCTTTCACAAAAATAAGTATTTTTTTTTCTCCCTTAAAAAGAAAGTAAGCTAACATCTTATGTGTCTTTTTTACTCCTGTTTTTTGCCACATATATTTTTCAGTCCCTTATTTACGTATAAACTCTCGAGTGTGAGTTCGGTACTTGATTTATCTTCCCTGTTAAATCAGACGCTGGGGATAGCAGCGAGGCTGACTAAAAGGAGCTTTAAATTATTTATTTACAAATGCGGAGCCTACTCATTGCAGCTGTTTCCTCTGGAGCCGAAAGTTCGCCTCGAAATAAATATTTGCTGTGCAAGCAAAAAGTCGTGTGTGAAACACTTCGCAATAGACTGAACATAACAAGCCAATGGGAAGTGTTGGCAAAATGTACTTTTATTTAACACTTGGGATTTTTAAACACTGGTGATTGTATCCAGATCAGGGATATTTTTTCATCCAACAATGACCGGATATCAAAATAATACAATAATGTACTATTATATACTATAGTAGTATTGCTAGTTGATTTTGGAAATAGATAGCCAATTATATGATGTATTATTTTATAAAACAAATGAATCTGCTAAATTAGATGACAAGATCATTTGCATTTTTATGCTAATTTTTCTAATTCTTTAGCTACTATTTCTGGGTTTTGTATAACAGGTTACTCTAATAATACATAAATTGCTTTCTTAATCTTAGGCTCTCATGCATTTGATGCATTTATATAATAATTAAATGCATTACCATGGAGGAAAACAAACAATTTACATCATGTAATTTATCAAATCATCTACACTTTAATATATGTTGATACAATATACACTTAGAGAGACTCCTTTTGAATGAAATACTGCATAAACGTGACATGACATGGTGATGATCAGGACTCCAGTTATGTGTTAAAGGAGCTTGGGCTGCTTTGATTGCAGCCTGGGGGTTATCTTTATTGCTTGGTCTGGTGTCTCATCTTGATCTTGACATTACCTTATAGATTTCCTATGGGGTTTAGGTCCAGCCAGTTTGCAGGTCAATCAAAAACTCTAATCAGGTATCGGTTCTTTTGGCAGTCAGAGGAGGTTTTCAGTCTTGCTGGAAATTAAATTACAATCTCCATGACCATTCTTAGCAGACGGAAGTGCGATACTCTTAAAGTTCCTTGTTGATGGCAGTGTGAAGTTAAGACACAGAGGTGGGTGGTAACTAGTTACATTTACTCAGTTAAATTTACTTGAGTAAATTTGAAGAAAAGAATCTGCTTGTTGGCGTAGTTTTAATTTACCTTACTTTTTACTTATGTAAAATTCTTGTGTTGTTTTTCTTAAGGAACATTTCTGGTTACTCTACTTACCATGAGTAAGTTGATTTGGAGATCAGGTGAAATAGTTTTGTTTTTTGTGTAATCATGTTATTTACTTTTTATGTTTTTTTAATTTTATTTTATACTTTGAAATACTATAATTTATGCATGACTCAGACATTATTAACTGATTACATTATTTTTTAACATTAAACCAGCTGTTATGGACCATCAGTTACTTAATACTGAGTAATGATTCTACAAAGTACCTTTTTACTCTTAAGTAAATTCTTGGATGACTATTTTTAACTTTTACCTGAGTACAGAAAATGCTCAAATTATGCTTTTTTTCCATTAAACTTTCTGTGTGTATATTTGCAGGTGTAACACACCTGTTACATCAGTCAAGAAAAATCTTTTTTTGTTTAACTTAGTGAAGTGGGTTTTGCCTATATGAACTGTCACACAAAAGATTGTTGGCAATCATATAGTTTCTAGTGTTGGCTATGGACATCAGTATTTCCTGATTCAGACTTCATTGGCGCCGGCTGGACTCCATGGTTACAGGACTTTACTGTAACTATGTGGGAAAAAAGTCCTTATTTCTATTTGCATGCCTGGATTTGCATGCTAGCTGCAACTGTCGCTTCTCTTCTGTGTGGCGACAAACTCAATTTAAGTATACAACCACCAACTTAAGAGCTGGAGTTAGAAATGTGTTGTCCTATTCTAGTTAACTGTAAAGTTTAGAGAGACAAAAATTTAGTCCCTCAATCTGAAAATTGCCTCCTGTTTAATTCCAATTATATTGCAAATGCTATTATGCCTAAATTACCATTATTTGTGCTTAGATAATAAAAACAAACAAAACAAAACAAAAAACTGCAGCATAAGAAGTAAGACATTTGAAGCATATATCCTGGATCCTCTCTGTGCCTGTGAAAGCACTAACTCCAGATTCTCCCCAAACCCTTAAATTGGTTGTGTACTCAATCTTCCTAAAACTGAAGTGTTCTCTGTTGCATGTGGTGATCAGTTTAAATATTTAAGAGTTTATTTGTTTGTTTTTTGTTAGCAGTAAACCATAATAATCAGTAAGTGGAAGACATATGTTAAAAGTGCATCAATCAGTGCATAATGAATGGAAAACATATATGAGCATTTTTAGTAACCTAAACTAAATACATTTTTTCCAAAATGTTTGACTTTTCTTTTTAAATGTGCTTGTAATATTGATGGTCTCTGCATGTTTGCCTGAATATAGGAAGGATTGCATGTGAAGATGTTCCCATGGTCTTGTTTTCACACACACTCAACCTATCAACACCACTCATAACACTCATACGGCCAACAGACACACACTCCTCTCTCCTCATTACACTCCCTTTTTCTACTTTGATGATATGCAAATATCCCTCCCACCCTCCTTCCTCTTACCCCTCCTTTTCTCTCTCACAAGCCTCCACACCCACACACACACACACACACACACACACACACACACACACACACACACACACACACACACACACAATCACATGTGGGCTAATGCGCTGTGGCAGCGTCCACAGACAGGCGGGGAGGATCAATTTTTCACCCAGTGTGCTACCGATATTTATAAGATAAGGCCACATAAGACAGAGGGGGAGAAGGGATAGAAGGATGATGGAAGAAAAGAAAAGAACATTAGAGAGGGGGAGGAGAAAAATAATAATAAGAGAGTGAAATTAAGCAGCAGGCCCAGAAAAGGAGTGGAGGAAGTCTGTCCGAGAAGGCGGGTGAGTGGGATGAAGAGCAAGAGGAGCAGAGAGGAGGAACAGGGGGAGTAGTTACTAGGGAGGGTGAGCCACGGGTGAGAAAGTAGAGGGTGGAGATGTCTCGTGGGTGTGTGGGAGGGTGGAGGGATGATGAGTAAGTGGGTTAGGGGTGGGTTGGAAAGGGGGATGGTTGTATTGAGGACTCTGGGGGATGGGATTGGGAATGGATAAGGTGGTTAGGGAAAAAGAGGGATGGTGTGGAAGAGGAGAGGAGGGGGGGTCATTTTGCTGACATGCTCTCTTATTGGCTCGTTCAAATGCTGGGGGAGGGGCAGCCACAAACCATACTCTCACCAGCTGTGGGGAAGAGCACTGAAACAAAGAGAGGGAGAGAGGAAAGAGGGGGGCGGGTTATGGGCTTCAATGTTGATACTCTGCTCTAATTAGATTTCTGTCTGAGTGGCGGAATGATTGGCAAGGATCTTACTCAAAAGGGTAATTCACAATAGGGGTTGGGCTTTATTACAGTTGCACAAGTTTATTTATTTTGTTCACAATAATTATTTGATCAAGGTGAGTTGTTTAACAGCAACTATTGCCCAAATGTTAGCCTACGTTTATTAATTTCATGATCTTGAAAAAAAATTACATCTTCATCAAAAAGTTGGAGGTTCTGTCAAAAACGTAAAAACTGAATTTAATATTTTACCTGCAGTGGAAAACTCCCTCAATTTCCTCATTTTGTGCAAACATTAACCAGGTTAGATGGAAGGACTTATATCCTATGTGTAGGATAATTATCATTGATGATGTACACTATTCACCTGGTTTAATCATTTCTTCTTTCGTTTGTGCCAATGGGCTTTACCAATGCACATCAAAGTATTTCTTCGCAAAGTATTACAGTAAATTTCACGGAAAATCAGTCATCCAATAAATCCTCATCAAATCATATGTATTATTGAAAATGATAGGTAGTTATTTTCTATACATTATGTATTATACACTTTTTAACTTTTGATATTGATTCTGGATGGTGCCACTCATTGCAGAGGAAATATTCCCCCTTATGATGTGAATTCTTAGCAACCTGCAGCAAATGTATGGCAGTAACTTTTAAAATATCAAAGCCGATTGAAAGTGTCACCCATCATGTGCAAGTACATAGGCAGACGGCTCCTCTTTTGACCTGAAAAACTGGGTATAAAACATACAAAAATACCAAAGTATGCAATAACTGCAGGCAAAACCATCACCAATTTATAAAAAGTTTCTACCACATAGAAATAACAAACGTCAGTTTCTATAAACTTTATGTATATTGGGACAGACGTTGAACACAGATCAACTACAGTAAAGTGTTTTCCGGCAGTGAAATTCTATTTGTTTAATTAGAGCAGTGTGTAAAAAAAAAAGTGTCTTAATTGGTTGATTTATCATATTTCTTCATATTTCTAGTGCTTGCTTTTTTGTTACACTGTTCCTTTGAAGAAACAAGAAACACTTCAAGTGTCTCATTCTCAGTACATGCTTCACAGAGAAAAATGAAGTGGTGCACTTTCTCTTAGCTTCATTTTCTGTACAAATATGTAAAAATATGCTCATTTTGTCCCAGAAGTCATAGCTCAAATGAAAGAATACTGTCTTGAGAGATTTAGGAGTATTTTAACTACTTATTCTACTCTGTAATTGACAATCATTAAAAGTGAATTAAAGTGTTAGCATAAACCTTAGTATAGTTGGAATTGTTTTTAAGTCTTTAACCCTTTA